TCATTGAGGAAATAGAGGACTTGAACAATAGGATAGACCAATTGGACCTAACAAACACACCGAGCACTTCCCCTGACAACAGAATACACATTCTTCTCAAGTGCACATGGACGTTTTGCAAGTTAGACTATATGTTAGTCCACAGAATAAATCTTGACAGATTTACGAAGTCTGAAATCGTACAAATTATCTTCACCAATGCAAATGGAATAAACTTAGAAATTAATAACAGAAGAAAAAGAAGAAAAATCACAGTTATGTGGAAATTAAACAATTCACTCTTAAACAACCTGTGGTTCAAAGAAATCAGAAGGGAAATGAGAAATCATCCCGAGACAAATAAAAAATGAAAACACAACTTAGGGGATGAAACAAAACTTATGGGATATATCAAAACCAGTACTAAGAGGGTGATAGTAGCAAATACTTGAAGAAGAAGATCTCAACTCAACAATCTAATTAACCTAATTTAACCTCAAAGAACTAAAAACTAAGAACAACTAAACCTAAAACTAGTAGAAGGAAGTAACAAAGATTATATCAGAGATAAATAAAATAGCAAAGTAGTAGAAAAATTAATGGAACTAAGAATTATCTTTTATAAAATATCAACAAAATCGATAAACTATTTGCTAGACTAAGAAAAAAAGAATAAACTAAAATGACTAAAATTAAAAATAAAAGAGGAGACATTACCACAAATGTCACAGAAGTAAAAATAATTACAGGAGACTACTATAAAGGATTTTACATCAACAAATTGGATAAGCTATAAGAAGTGGAAGAATTTCTAAAAACACACAACACATCAAGACTGAATAATGAAATATTAAAAACGGAATGAACTTTTAACAAATAATCAAAAACCTCCCAACAAAGTAAAGTCCAGGACCAGATGACTTTACTAGAAAAAAATTAAAAATACAATGACTACATGATCCGGCAATCTGACCCTTAAGTATATAAGCAAACATATTCAAAGCAGGAACTCTAAGATGTATTTACATACCCATGTTCATGGAACCATTATTTGCAATAGCCTAAAGGTGGGGGCAACCCAAAAGTCCATCACAGATGAATGGATAAAGAAAATGTGGCATAGAGGCACACTGGAATATTATTCCACCTTTTAAAAGAAGGAAATTCTGTCATATTCTACAACAGAGTTAAACCTCAAGGACATTTATGCTAAGTGAAAAAAGCTAGTCAAAAAAGGACAAATACTGTATAATTCTACTCATATAATTATCTAATGTAGTCAGAATCATAGAAACAGAAAGAAAACAGGTAGTTGCCAAAGTAGAGGTAGAACGAAGTTTCAGTATTACACCATGAAAGAGTTCTAGAGGTCTGTTGCACGATCATGTCAATATAGTTAACATTACTGAACTGTACACTTAAAATGGTTAAAATGGTAAATTTTTATTTTGTGTATCTTTACCCAAAATCAACTCTATGATGAATGAAAGAAGCCAGACACCAGTCACCGTATGAGTTTATTCATATGAAATTCAAAAACAAGCAAAACCAATCTACAGTAGCAGAAACCAGAGTGGAGGTTGCCGCTGGGGCCAGAGATTGAAGGGGAAGGAGCAGAAAGGAACTTTGTGTATCTTGGAGTGGTGAATAAACAGGTACATACATACATTAAAAAGTCTAAATACTCACTGAGCCACACATTTAGTATTTGTGCACTTTTCTGTGTATAAGTCATCCCTCAATACAAAATTTTAACTAACAACACCAAAAATGAATGTTGGTGAATTCATTATGTGAATAATTAAGAAGGGAACAAGAAAGGCAAACAAGTCATAAGACAGGAAGTCAAGTTCAAGGACCTTGAAGACTTTAATATTAATGAGACACCAAATGCATCCTCCTAAATTGAAAAGAATGGTGGAAATGAAGCTAGGTGACTTCCAAGGATATGTCATAAAAACCTATGCACTTTGCTTTATTCTTATGGGAATTCTGGGGTCTGGTACTTACAGATCTCACTGCTTTATTTCCCAAATTCATCGCTAACTCTTGGATAATCAGAAATCTGAGAGATTTACAGAAACTGCCACCAGTGATCACAGCTGCCTGTGATTTATAGGTGATTTACGGGATGGAGGCACTGTAATATCTCACATATGCATAAATTAAACCTGCTGATACTCATATATCTGCCTCTCTCCATTGCTAGCAAAAGAAAGCGTGTCTGTCCATCTCTTTACCTTCTAAATCGATTGTAAGTATTCTTCCTTGATAGCACCTAATCCAGAATAGAGCTGGCAAGGAGCTCTGTCAAGTGTAGTTCCCAGACTTCTAGCCCCTCCAATAACAAGGAGAGCAGAGAAAGACCTGGAGAGAAATGATGATTGCAAAGGTACTTTTTAAACTGCTATTCACGTGATTGCTGATGAGGTTGAATGCTTGTCCTATACTTGCTTATTGTATTTTCCATTTTAGGATAAACTATGAAAAAGCTGGTCTTTTCATAATAAATAATATGAACATTATAATAAAGAACATTTTTTGCAGTGGAATAAAACAAGCCAGTTTATCTGTAGACTTGTGTTCTATATATAATCCGGCTGCCCCATTTGAGGACAACTCAACTCAAATTAGTAACAAGCACCACAGGTCTTCTGACATCCAAGCATGTAAACAGGAGGACTATCACTGACCTTAGTGACTGACCAATTACTGTGAGCCAATGCCTCTCACATTATCACCGTTCATGCATTTTACAGACAATGTGACAGGTATAACATTTTGAAGTAATTCCTTGCACACTTTTCCTCCCACAGTCATCCAATTCCTTCTCCGGCAGCTCTTTCCCATTTTAAGGCTGAAATGTGAGACTTGTTGCTTTGAGGAGGAAGCAGGAGGGATTCTAGCTGGAACAAAGAAGGCCATCTGTTAGGAAGAGGGCTGAGGGTAGAAAAGTCCCTGCCAGAAGGAAAGAAAGGCAAGTCTCATCTTATGACTTGGTGGAGGTAGCAAGAAAAAAGAAGGGGAGAAGATAGGAATTGAGATGCTAAAGTCCTGGCACCCCTACAGCCCAGGGTTGAAATGCCAGGGCAGGGTGGAAGGAGTATAGAAACCTCAGGTTTATTTAGAGATTTCTAGAGCATACGGAACCAGCGTGGCTTCTGAGCATTAGATCAGAAATAGTGCAGGAATTGAATGTCTTCAGAAACTTATGACTGTGGTTAACCTGAAGGAAGGTGATGTCTGGGAGCCCTATAAAGGAGACATTAAGCACTATATATTCTGTACCATGATGCACATGGTAGATAAATTTCAAAAATATCCCCAATTCTATATCCCCTCTTTGCATCCTCACCTTTTGCCATATGACTTCATGGCTCCTCCTAATAAGAGGCAAAGTCTTTCCCATCCCTTGACTGGTCTGGACTTATAACAGGACCCAGGGGACACACTTGGACACACACTCTACTCAGCCCCAGGAAGAAACTTGACCTTCGTCTACACCTAGAACCATCAGGAGTAGGAGGAAGGAAGAGAAACACGGAAAGACTGAGCTTAGTTGGGCACCTGTAGCTCAGTGAGTAGGGTGCCAGCCACACACACCGAGGCGAGGGGGTTCAAGCCCAGCCTGGGGCCTGCTAAAACAACAATGACAACTGCAACAAAAAAAATAGCCTTGCGTGGTGGCAGGCACCTGTAGTCCCAGCTACTCAGCAGGCTAAGGCAAGAAAATCGCTTAAGCCCAAGAGTTTGAGGTTGCTGTGAGCTGTGACACCATGACACTTTACCAAGTCCCACAGACACTGTGAGACTGTCTGAAAAGAAAAAGAAAAAGAAAAACTGAGCTGGTTTTTTCCTAGAAAAGACTGAGTTAACCTACAAGAGAATGATGGCAGCCCATATGGTGCTAACTTCACCACATACATACAACATAGTTTTACCCTGGTTTACAGATCAGGAAACTGAGGCACAAAGTGTTCTAATGATTGTCATAATGTTACACAGCCAGATCTGGGTAAAGCCAACATTCGAACCCAGACAGTGCAGCAGAAGAGGTTATCAGTAGCCAGACGAGCCTGAAATTGCTTCCATTTGCCAAGTTCAAGCTTTTCCTTCCTCATAGCCAGTATGAGGAGCTCCCGAAGAAGTCCAGATCAATTATAGCAAATAAAGATGGCACCAACACAAATTTTTGCACAGCCTGACTATTACATTTAGACCCCAGGAAATGGAGCCTGAGAGAGTTGCCCATGGTTGCACACACTTCAGGATTATGCCCATGTTCTCCTTGCAGTGCCAGAAGGAGGCCTCTGTGGGGGCTTGCTTTAAACTAAAATCTTCTTAGGGCAGCGCCTGTGGCTCAAAGGAATAGGGCGCTGGCCCCATATGCCAGAGGTGGTGGGTTCAAACCCAACCCCAGCCAAAAACTGCAAAAATAAATAAATAAATAAATCCTCCTTCTTAAGCAATGTCACCTCCTCTATTTCCTGCATATCATGAATAACGATGGCTGACATGCTCAGCACTTACCTCCTTCTGTGCCTTCACACACATCTATCTCTCATAATCTTCACAGCACCTTTCAGAAGAGGTTATTGCTACTGCTCCCATTTTACCCTTGTTTCCAAATGAGGAAACAAAGGCTCAGAGATGGCAGTGACTTTGAAATCTTAGCCAAGGAGAGGAAGATGTAATGCTTGATCCAAAGTCCAGCTGGCTATAAAGGGTACCCTATGACCATGGTGTTTACTTCCCTCCCTGGTGCCTGGATCATAACCTTGTGGCCAGGGGTCATTATGGCTTCGACATAGTGATTATGGGAGCCACAGCCCACACTCAAAAAAAAAAACCGGAAAGCCTTTGACCAGGCTCCTCCCTCTTGCACCATCAGCTCTGTGTTGCTGTAATGAAACCACTTCCCCAAGTAGCCCTGACCAAGGAAAGGAGAAATAGCCCGGCACAAGGGACCCACCTCAGACCCAACACCCACCAGAGAACAGAACAGTGGCCCAGGTTGGGGACTGCAGAAGGTGCCGTGTGCTCCTGTAATGCCTACCTCTACCCACCTGGCCCGCTCACCTACCTGCTTCCTGCTGCTGGTGCTGTTCCTTATCTTCTCAGGTGAGTAGGATCTCAGACAGATCTCAGACATGCGTGGAGAAGCTTGACTCCTCCCACCCAAGAAGGAGTGTGGAGAACTTTCCTGACCCCGTAAGAGAGCAGACAGTAGATCCAGTGTCCCAAGAAGCAGTGTAGTGAAGTAATTAAGTGTCAGGGTCTGGGCCCACACCCACCAGGCCCCAGGAGGGTTGCTTGACTACCCATGTTAGACAGTGTGGCCCTGTTAGCCCCAATGTCCTCTTCTATACAACAGGGGTGCTGTGAGTATTAAATGGAAAAGTGCAGAGGCTCAGCCTTAGACCAACCACATAATTTGTGAGGCCCAAGGCAAAATCAAAATGTAGGTACCCTCATTCAAAAAGTATCAAGGAATACAGCAGAGCATTAAACCAAGCATGGGGCCCTGTGCAACTGTATGGATTGCACACCCGTGACCCAGCCTGCCTCAGCTTGAGACACAGCTTGGCTCAAACTTCACCACTGACTGATTTAAGTGACTTCTCCCTAAGCCTCAGTTGTTCTCATCTATAAAATGAAGCTAATAATAGGACCTGCCTCTTGACTTTGTAAGGAGGATTCAATAAGATAATACCTGTAAATACCTGGAATAATGTAAAAATCTGATAACTGTTGGCTATTACTGTTATCATACCTATGTCTCCCCTAACTCTAGGTCAAGCCAGTTTAGCTCCTGAGTCCTGAGGCTCCTGAGGATAGCTCAGCCTCTGAGTCTAGAACCCTCTAGCCCACCAGGTGGGATTCTTGGCCCTTACAGTGGGCTCATTCCATCTCCTGCCCCTCTGACTCCTGCCCCCAGCCCTACTGAGATTTAGATTCTGTTCATCACACTGTGGATCCTCCATGGTGGTCAACCCCAGGAGAGGTCCTGGTGGGACCCAGGTGAATGGTCAGACCTGGGTGCTCAGTGGATGAGGGCTCACTCTCTATGTGACTTGAGACGCCATTTCACTTTTCTGAGCTGGTTTCCTGGATTGTTAAATGTGAATTATAATTCTTAGTCACTCGATCTACAAATGCTTTTGAGTGTCTGCTATGTTTTATGCACTAGGCTAGGAAATCAGAAATCAAAACTACCCAGAATTAAAAATATTCCAAGTATATATTTTTTAATATTGATCTTTCTATGAGGCTTCCAACAGGACCCCCTCAACAGGGATGATGAAAGGCAGAGGCTACAGATGGAAAATAGATGAGAAGGAGCCCCAGAGCTGTGGAGAAGGTGTTGGTCCAACTCCCAGGACACCTTCCGAAGCCCATGTGATAACTTAGAAGGAGATTTGAGGAGAGGGCTAGCAGGAGTGTGAAGTACCTGGCCTGAGTCGGGGCTCCAGCTTCTTCCTGAGTGTTTCACCACCCCAGACCCGCCTCCGCTGGGATTAGACTTTCCTGGTCCTCTTCTTCCTACTGCCAGGTCTTCATCAATTACCATCTTCTCCCACAGACATAGGCTTCATCTTTGTAAACTTTTTATCCTTTTTAAATAGCTTTATTGAGGTACAAGTGCCATACAATAAACTGCACATATATAAAGTACACAGTTTGGTAAGTTTTGTGGGTGTTGGATATGTTTCCCATTGGTGAAATCATCACCAAAATCAAGATAACAAACATATACCCAGCACCCACAAAAGTTTCCTTGTGAGTCATGCTTTCCACTCCTCCACTTCTCTAGGAAACCCTGGATCTGTTTTCTGACGCTAGAGATCAGTTTGTACTTTCTAGAATTTTTGTGTAACAAGGATCATACAGCCATACTCCTTTTGATCTGGCTTCTTTTACTCAGGATAGTTATTTTAATTCTCATCATTTTGGTAGGTGCGTAGTAATAGCTCATTGTGTTTTAACTTGAATTTCCCTGGTATAGAACTATGCTGAATATCTTTCATGCCATGCTTCCTCTTTGGTGAAGTGTCTGTTCAATTCCCAATTTTTAAATCTGTTTCTATTATTGAGTTGTGAGAGTCCTTTATATATTTTGGATACAAGCCTTTTATTGTGCACTTTGCAAAGATTTTTGTTGTTTTCTTGGAACAACAGGAGTTCTGAATTTTCATCAATTTTCTTTTTCTATAACATGATTTTGGTGTTGTGTCTAAGAAATCTTTGCCTACCCAAAGTTGCAAAGATTTTTTTTTCCTGATTGCATCTTGAAGTTGTATAGCTTTACATTTTATATTTTCAGTCCTGTGATCCTTTTTGAGTTAATTTTTGCATGTGGTTCAAGGCATGAACTGAAGTTCTTTTGCACATGAATTTCCAATGCTCTTGGCACCATTGTTGAAGAGACTTTCTTTTCACTCCACTGAATTGTCTTTGCACCTTTGTCAAAAACAACTTTTTCATACCCAGGAGCCATGGCACATGCCTATAACACCAGCTGCTTGAGAAGATCACTTGAGACCAGGAGTTCAGGGCTGCAGTGTGCTATGATGATCACACCTGTGAACAGCCACTACTCCCCACTGCCTGGGCATCATAGCAAGACCTTGTCTCTTTAAAAAAAATCAGTTGTTCCTATATGTGTAGATTATTTCTGGACTTGATTCAGTTCCATTGATATGTTTGTCTATTTTTGTGCAAATACCACACTATCTTGATTAATGTGGCTTTATGGTTAGGTCTTGAAATCAGGTAGGATTCATTTTCCAACTTCATTCTTTTTCTAATTGTTCTGGCTATTCTAGGAATTTTAGATTTAGTTTGTCATTTTCTAAAGTGATTGAGTATGGGATTTGAATAGAAATTGCATTGAATCTATATATAAATTTGAGAGAATTAATATCTTATAGATATTGGATCTTCCAACATATGAGCAGTGTGTTATCGCTCTATTTAGGCTTTTTTGTTGGTCGTGGTGATGGTGGTTTAGTTTTGGTTCAGGTTTGGGTTTTTAATTCCTCAACAAAAGTTCGTACGCTTTCAGTTTACCATTTCTTCACTTTTTTGGCTAAATATTTCCTATTTCTGATGATACTAATGATTGGTATTTTTAAAATTTCAATTTGCCATTGTTTGTTGCTAGTATGTAGTAATACCAATAATTTGTGTGCATCTTGCATTCTTACTAAACTCATTTATTGGATCTAGTGGCTTTTTTTTTTTTTTAGAGATTTCCCTTGCAGTTTTGATGATCTCATCTGCAAACAAAGGTAGTTTCCTTCTTTGTTTCAAATCTAGATGTCTTTTATTTCCTTGTATTACCTTATTGCACCTCTACCACGATGTTGAACAGAAACAGTAAGAACAGACATCTTTGTCTAGTTCCTAATCTTGGGGGAAAGCATTCATTCTTTAGCACCACACTAAGCATATGTTGATTGTAGAGTTTTCACAGATGCCCTAGTTTAGTAATATAATAAATTACATTGATTGATTCTTTTTAAGGTAAAACCAGTTGTTTATTCCAGGGATAAACTCAGTTTGGTCATAATGTATTTGTACTTTTTATAGAGCTGCATTTGATTTACTAAAACTTTATTTACAAATGTTCAGGAGGAATATTGCATTTTTTTTCTTTTAAGATCTTGTCTGGCTTTGATTTCAGGGCAACAAAAACTCATAAAATAATAGGGAAACATGCCCTTTTCAATTTTCTTGAAGTTTTTATATAAAATTGGTATTATTCCTTTCTTAAATGTATTACAATATTTACCAATGAAGCTATCTAATCTTGGAGTTTTATTTCTGGCAAGGTTTTTTAAAGCAGATTTTAAGATTTAATAGATAATAGGGCTATCTAGATCATCCATTCTTCTTGAGCAGCTTTGGAAATTAGTGTTTTTCAAGGAGTTTGTGCATGTTACCTAAGTTGTCAAAAACATACAACCTGTTCATAATAGTCCTTTTTAATATGTGTCATATCTATAGTGGTATCACTAATCTCTTTCCTCATTTAACTCTCTCTCTCTTTCTTCCCCCAATTCAATTTCTCCAAATTTAATGTTTTCTCAGAGATTTTCTTCTTCTCACTGATTTTTTTCTTTCTTTTTCTTTTTTTTTAGATCTTGATACTTTCTTTTCTTTTACTTACTTTGCTTTAAGTTTAGTTCTTTTTCTCTAGTTTCTTCCCCCCCCCCCCCCAGCAGTTCGGCCAGGCCAGGTTTGAACTAGCTACCTGAGGTATATGGGGCCGGCACCCTACCCACTGAGCCACAGGCGCCACCCTTTCTCTAGCTTCTTAAGGCTGAAACTTGAACATTCATTAAGTCTTTTCTTCTTTCCTAATAGAGGCTTTTTTTTTTTTTTTTTTTTTTAGACAGAGTCTCACTTTGTCACCCTCGGTAGAGTGCTATGGCGTCACAGCTCACAGCAACCTTAAACTCTTGGGCTTAGGTGATTCTCTTGCCTCAGTCTCCCAAGTAGCTGGGACTACAGGAGCCCACCACAATGCCCAGCTATTTCTTGTTGCAGTTGTCATTGTTGTTTAGCCAATCGGGGCTGGGTCCGAACTGGCCAGCCTTGATGTATGTGGCTGGCACCCTACCCACTGAGCTATGGGTGCCGCCCCTATTAGAGGTTTTTATTTTATTATTATTATTATTTTTTTTTTTTGCAGTTTTTTGGCCAGGGCTGGGTTTGAACCCGCCATCTCTGGCATATGGGGTCGGCACCCTACTCCTTTGAGCCACAGGTGCCGCCCAGAGGCTTTTAATGCTATAAATTTCCCCTTGCTTTGGTGGCATCCCATGAATGCCAATATTATGTTTTCATTTTCATTCTGTTCAAAATATTTTCAAATTTCTCCTTTATCTTTTTTGTTGATACATAATAATTGTACATATTATGGGGCAAGTGTAATAATTCATTACACAGGAGGTGTAATGATTATGTCAAGGATTGTGTAATGGTTATGATTATATAGGATAACCATCACCTTGTATATTTACCATTTCTGTGTTGGGAACACTGTGAATCCTCTCTTGTAGCTCTGCTGAAATATTCTTCACTATTGACTACGGTCGCCCCAATCTACTGTCAAACATTAGGTCTTATTCCCCTCATCTAACTATACATTTGTCCCCATTAACTAGCCTCCCCCCCTCCATTACACCTACCCTTCCTCACATCTTACATGTGGTTAAGTATCATTTCATTCTCTACCTCCATAAGACCAATTCTCACATACAGGGGGGAATACATGATATGTGTCTTTCTGTGCCTGGCTTATTTCACTTAACATAGTGATCTCCAGTTCCATCCACATTGCTGCAAATGACTGGATTTCATTCTTTTTTATGGCCAAATAATACTCTGCTGTGTATATATAACACATTTTCTTTAACCATTCATCCACTGATGGACACTTAGGTTGATTTTGTACCTTTGTTATTGTGAATAATGCTATAATAAACATGGGAGTATGGGAGCCTTTTGATATACTAATCTCCTTTCCTTTGGATAAATACCCAGAAGTGAGATTTCTGGATCATATGGTAGTTTAGTTCTGTTTTCAGTTTGGGGGGAAATCTCCATACTATTTTCCATAATGGCTGTACTAATTTACATTGTCTCCAGTGGTGTATAAGAGTTCCCTAGTCTCTGAATCCTCACCAGCATCTATTATTTTTATGTATCTTTGTATCACAGCCATTCTAACTGAGATAAGATGATATCTCATTGTGGTTTTGATTTGCATTTTCCTGATGATCAGTGATGTTGAGCGTTTTCCCATGTACCAGGTGGTCATCTGTGTTTTTTTTTCCCCCTAACAAATGTCTATTCAGGTCCTTTGCCCAGTTTTTTTTCTTTTTTTTTTTTTTGAGACAGATCCTCAAGCTGTCCCCCCGGGTAGAGTGCTGTGGCATTACAGCTCACAGCAACCTCCAACTCCTGGGCTCAAGCGAGTCTCCTGTCTCCCCCTCCCAAGTAGCTGGGATCACAGGTGCCCGCCACAACACCTGGCTATTTTTTTTTGGTTGCAGCCATCACTGTTGTTTGGCAGGCCCAGGCTGGATTTGAACCTGCCACCTTAGGTGTATGTGGCTGGTGCCTTAGACCCTTGAGCCACAGGCGCCAAGCTCCTTTGCCCAGTTTTTAATGGGATTATTTTTTAACATTGAGTTGTTTGAGTTCCCTGTATATTCTAGATATTAGTCCCCTGTCTCATGAACGGTTTACAAATATTTTCTCCCATTCAGCAGCTTGCCTCTTCACTCAAATGATTATATTGTTTTACAGAAGCTTTTTAGTTTAATATAGTCCCATTTGGCTATTTTTGCTTTTGTTGCCTGTGCTTTTGAGTTCTTAGCATAAGATCTTTGCCTAGACCAATATCCTTGTGTGTTTCCTCTGTTTTATTTTGGTAGTTTTGTGGTTTCAGAGCTTACAGTTAAGTCTTTAATTCACCTTGAGTTAATTTTTGCTTAAGATGAGAAATAGAGGTGTAGTTTTATCCTTCTGTATATGGACATCCAGTTTTCCCAGAAATATTTACTGAAGAGGGTGATCCTTCCCCAATGTGTGTTTAAAAATCAGTTGGCTGTAAATGTGCAGATTTATTCCTGTGTTGTCTATACTCTTTCATTGCCCTATATGTCCGTTTTTATACCAATGCCATGCTGTTTTGGTTACTATAACCTTGTAAATATACTGTGAAGTCAGGTGGTATGATGCCTCCAGCTTTGTTCTTTTGGGGAACTTCTTTGGCAATTAATTTCTCTTTTATATCTTTGACTCATGCTATGTAGAAGTGTGTTATATAGTTTCCAAATACCTGAAATTTTTCTAGACATCTTTCTGTTATTGATTCTAGTTTATTTCATTAGAGAATATGCTTTTCATGACTTGAATTCTTTTATACTCATGGAGTTTTTTATTTCACAATAGTGAGAGGGCCAAAAATAAGATTATACATTACATTGTAATCATCTTTGAAGTGCTTGGAAAATTCAAGTAAAATTGATAAATATTGGGCTGGAAAAAATATTAAGAGAGTACAAATGTTTTAGGTTACCTGGATCATTTTTGTAATGCTTGAGTCCTGGCTATAGGTGCACCTGTCACCCAAATAGTATTCACAGGACCCAGTAGGTTTGTTTATTCCCTTTCTGTCCTCTATCCCCTCCCTGCTCTTCATGGGGACTTTTTACTTGAGTGGATAGCATCCAATAAATGTCATCTAGGTTGAGTGGGTTGATAGTGTCTCTAAGTCTTTTTATATTCTTTCTGATTCTTCCGACTACTTGTTCTGTCGATCACTAAAAGATGAGTACTGAAATCTCAGACTTTACCTGTGGATTTGTCTGTTTCTCCTTGTAATGCTATTGACTTTTGCTTTTATTTTTTAATGCTCTTATTCTTTTCATCTGTTGATGTTTGCTTCATCATTTTGAAACAGTGATTAGCTGTGTAAATATTCATAATTTTTTTTATCTTCTTGGTTAATTTACTCCTTTATATTATGAAATGACAACCTGTATCCCTGGAGATAATCTTTGCTCTGAACTATGCTTTTTCTGATATTAATATATCTACTCCAGCTTTCTTTTGATTAGTGTTCGTATATTATACCTTTTCACATCATTTTTCTTTTAACTTACCTGTGCTTTTACATTGGAGTGCTTTTTTGGTAGGCAACTTATGGTTGGATCTTAGTTTTCTATCCAACCTCACAATCTAACTCTTACTTACATATTTATACCATTTACATTTAAAATGATTATTGATATGAGTAAGTTTAAATCTATTACTTTCCTATTTGTTTTATTTGTTCTTTGTTCCCTTTTTCTGTTTTCTCTTGGTGATTACATATTTTAATACCATTTATCTCCATTATTATCTTACTAGTTATATGTCTTTATTTTGTATTTTAGTGATTGCTTTAGAGTTTATACTGAATATACATCTTTAATTTATCACAATCAACCTTTAAGTGATATCATACCATTCTTCATATAATATAAAAACCAGCTATTTAGCAAGGCTCAACTGTGAGTCTGAAGTGGTTCCCTAATATGGAGAAAGGTTAAGGGTGAAACTCCAGTGATCCACATTCCCAACCACAGACTCCTACAACGCTAGCCATGAGAAAGCCCCTTCACTTTTGTGGATTCTGAGGCTAACATAGAGAGCTCTCTGACACTGCATGAAGGCAGTGCTCCACAAAGAAAACTCACACTGGGTCCCACAAATCCTCAACCCTAAACAACTATAGCACAGTGCCATTTGGGGAGCCCAGCCCACACCGAACTATGCCCTTCTTTGGCAGCCTTGCCCAGCCTTAGGAGCCGGGGCAGCAAACCGATCTTCCTGAAGTGGGTGGCCACACATCATCGTGTGTCTCAAGGATAAATTCTACTGCTTAAAATCTTCACTCCTATAGACTCCTAGCTTTGGGGGGACACAGTTCAGCCCCATAGATGATCCTTGGAAAGTTACCTAACATTTCTGGGCCCCTGTTTCCTCTGTCATGAAATGAGTATAATTCTGTTTATCAAGAGGAACATTATGAAGAATAAATGTGATGATGCATGCAGTGCCCAGCACATGAACATTTACATGTTATTTATTATTTATAGGCTTCCCATGACCTAGCTCTGTTCTCTCTCTGCAGCCAGCCACCCCATCCCCTCTTTCCCTCCCCTCAGTAACAAAACTCCCCTCCTACCCAGTGCAAGCCCTTTCTTCTTCTGTTGTAGGAGCTTCTGAGCAAAGCAATGGGAAGTGGCAAGTGCTACAGGCTGAGGGCCCCATGCTGGTGGCAGAAGGTGAGACCCTCTTATTGAGGTGTGTGGTGGTTGGCTCCTGCGTTGACAACATGATAAAGTGGGTCAAAGTGAGCTCTCAGGGCCAGAAAGAAATTTATAACTTCAAACGTGGCTTCTTCCCTGGAGTGGTGCCCATGACCCAACAGACATCAGAGCCACTGAACTGTGATTATTCCGTCTATATCCACAATGTGACCAAGGAGCATGCTGGAACCTACCACTGTGTGAAGTTTGATGGTTTGAGTGAACATTCAGAAAATAAGATAGATGAGGGCACCTCGGTGCTTGTGAAGGGTGAGTATTAGGCCCTGCAGGGGATATACTGGCTCTGATATGTCTCCCTGTGGCAATCACCCTCATCCACAATCAGGCATCACACAAAACCTCAGTGGTATACAGTGATAGGTATTTGTATCTCACATGCATATTTACATGCAGATGGGCTGGGTTCACTCCTCCTGTCTCATGCCAGGGCCACGGGGCATGCTTTTCTCATGGAGATGACAGAAGCAAGCCCAGAGGGCCAGTCTCAACTCCCCAAACACATCTTAAGCCTCTTCACACATGTCTGCTAAGAGCCCATTAAAAACAGCTGACTAAAAAAAGTCAGTTCCAATCAAGGGACAAGGAAGTGTACTCTTCTACCATAAGACCTCGAGGACAGTGTGGATGTGCCACATCACTAGAGTGGAGTCAAGACCTGAAGACAAGTCACTCCCCAAGTAATCAGTCATGGCTTCTGTAAGTCCACCAGTGGTGACCTGGATATCCAAACCCTGGGCCTGTCATTCAATAGCAGTGTGTTCTTAAATCTGTCACTGCGGCTCTATATGTGCATACCTCAAGTGTTTAGCTTGTAAAATAGACAACAAAATTTGTAAGTCAAGGGTCAATCAGGTGATTAAATAGAAGAGCAGATGCTTATGAACCACCCTGTAAACTGGTGATGTGTAGTGTCGGGGTGGGAGAGGGGGTTATTTTAACTTGATGCCAGCATTTCAGAAAGGTTTCCTGTCGCTTTCCAAGCTGGGATGGTGCCTCCTCTGCTCTCCTGCTGTCCTCTGAATCTCCAGCTGCACCACCAGACTGACAATGGTTTCAGGGCAGAGCATTTGCCTGTCTTGTGGAAATTCATTTTCCCCAGTCCTAGCATCAGTACATAGTAAACACTCAGAACTTCTTTACTGAATGAACAAACTAGTGATTAAGGAAAGAAAGCAAGAAGAAGAGGTGGAGTGAAGCATTTGAGAAAGGGGGAAGGGAGGGAAGGTATGAGGGAGAGAATGAATAAATGGAGGAAGAGAAGGAATCCAACAAGGACCCTCTCTTTGGCTTCAGGAGCCGAGGACCCTGAGCCTGACCTCTGGATCATCCAGCCCCAGGAGATGGTGTTGGTGACCACTGGAGACACTGTCATCCTGAACTGCACAGTGTTTGGAAATGGTCCCCCTGGATCCATTAGATGGTTTCTGGGGACTGGACTAAGCCGGGAGGCCATTTACAACTTTGGAGGCATCTCCTACTCCAACGTGACAGCGGTGCAGGCCTCCAACAATGACTTCAGCATCATTCTGCCAAACGTCTCTACTGAGGATGCTGGCACCTATTACTGTGTAAAGTTTCAGAGGAAACTCAACAGGCAATACCTTTCTGGACAGGGCACCATGCTGAGAGTGAAAGGTAAGAGAGATGATCCAGGAGGTATCAGGGGAGAGGAACAGGTGGGCCACAGGAACTTTTCACCATGTTTCAAACAAGCCAGATCTTCTCAGCCTCCAAGTCTTTACATAAGCTGTTCCCTTACCTGAAATGCCTTCTCCTTTTCTCTGAGACTCCTACTCATCCTTCAAGGCCCAGCACAAATGGCCCCTCCTTTTGAAACTTTCTCTTCTTCCAAGGCAGAGTTAATTTCTCCCCATTCTGGGCTCTACAGAACTTTGAGTAGAACATTAATAATTCAAAAACTTCTATTGCATGTTTGTTGAGTGTCCTGTACTATACTAGGTGCTAAAGACAATTGTTCAGACATTGTTCCTACCCCAGAGACGCTCATTCACCATAAATGCAGGGTTTAACTTTTAGCCCCCACCCTGGAAGAAACTGGCAGACTCATTTCAGTGGCCCTAGCTCCTGGCACAGGGGCTCGGGAAGTGACAGAAGAGAACAATGAGAGGAAGTGTGAGAAAGCTTTTCTCCTTTGCAGCAAAACCCACCTCTTCCCAAGAGGCAGAGTTCTCTGATGAACATGTGGCCAGGATATTTCCAATAGGTGAGTATACCTATCTCAGTGAAGTTAATAAGTTTCCCACAGGCAAGGTGGGGGTGCATGGATGGCTTGGTCATAAGAAGGGAGCAGTTCCAGACTTCTGGAGCTCACCTGCCACCACGAAAGTTCCCAGGGCTCCATCCCAACTGTGGAACTGGGAACAGTTCAATCAAGAACAGATTTCCTAACAGATGGCACCATCTCAATGATCAGCAGGTGGTTTTAGCTGAAAGGTAGTGAGCTCCCCATGATTCAGACTGTAGGGACACACTGAGGCCATGAACAACAGTGCCAACAAACATGGCTTTGTAGCCAGACCTCCTGGACAGAGCCCCTTTCTAGCTGTGTGATCATGGGTCGGACACCTCACTCCTTGAATCTCTGGTGTCTGACTCTGTGAACTGGCAAAGCGGGGGGGGTGAATCAGAGAGCCTCCTTCCTGGAGTTGGCATGGCTCCAGTGAGATCATCCATGCCAACTGTCCAGAACTGTGCCTGGCACATTACCTGGTAACACCTGGGGCCACCCAGGGAGCTTGTGATCAAGAGGGTCAGATTAGTCTCCCTAAGGCTCAGCCCTGTTCCTGCCATTCTTGGAAAGCAGGTCAGCTGGGGCCCATCACTGGGCCACCCCCTTATGAGTCGTCCTCATCTATAACAATTGGATCACTATCATACATTGTAGGATTAGTGTGAGGATTACATTAGGCAGTTAGGAAGAGCTTGGCTCCAAGTCTGAGACTGAGGAGCTGAGTAATCAATACATGAAAGCCGTTTTCTATTATTATCAGAGATTAGGGATGCTGTTGAGATGATCACAGATACAGACAGGATATGGGGCAAGGCTTCTTTGGGCCCAGAGGGAGGGATGGTCTTTGTTCTCTCCCAAGGCAGAAAGGATAAGGCTGCAGAGGTTACAGCAGCTGGACCCACGCTTACCCACAGGTACTGAGGTGTAAGCCATGGGGCACTCACCAGGGGTCCTGCCTGAGCTCTTCCGTGTCCCCCAGGCCTCCTGTCTGTGCTGGCACCTGTGGTTCTAGGGCTGAAGATGGTGACCTTAGCTGCACTCCTACTGGCTGTGGCTGTCTGCTGGAGGAACCCTGGGCAGGAAGACTTGAAGACCCGAGGCCCAGCAGAACTGTGCACATCTTAGCACAGGGCAAAGGACAAGGGTGAGAGTCAGCCTCAGCATGGGCCCTCTGTTCAGAGAGAAGCCAGAGATCTTCGACCATTTCTCAGCCTCTGGATGCCCCCCCGGGCCTCATGCCAAACTCCTAGATCCCTACTTGGGTTTGTGTTTACCTGGTGAAATTCCCCTCTCTGCACTGGGCTCCCTCTGAAGTGTTTCCTGTCTGCTCTCAGCCTGCTCAAGCCCTCTTTGCCCTTCTGGTTCTGGCTCTGACTCTGGTGTCTCGTCTATACCCTTGTCCCTGCTGCAGCCTCTTCTGTGAGGCTGTCCCTTTTTCTCCACCTTTGTGCATCTTTCCTGTCCTTCAAATATCCCACTCAGAGGCTGCTTCCCAGAAGGTGTCCCTGAGCATCTCTGAGCTGGTCCAGCCTGCCCACCTAAGCACCTCTATTTACACTCTTCTCTGCCCTCCTCCCTTTTCTTCCCTCCTGGCTGGTTGGATGAGTCTAAGAGTTAGAATGCAGGTCTGGCAACAGCAACAAAGCTCTTAAATAACAGTGACTTAAGCCAGAAGAAACTTGATTTCTCTGGTAATATCCAGCCATGATCAGGACAGGCAATACTGGGGCTGCCTCATTGTAAGGCCTGGGATTCCCTGATCTTGTTCCCAGTTCTACAATCAAAGCAGCTGGACTGGGGAAGAAGGCAGGGGCAGGCAGCACAATCCTCTCATATAAGGGCATAGGCAGAAATTCAACCACCTCACCTACCTTTAATTGACTGGAATGAGGTCTCAGGGTCACACTTAGCTTCAAAAAAAGGCAAGGAAATGTAGTCTTTATCCTGGCAGCAATGTGCCCTGCTGAGCTGGAGGGCAGATAATTGGGAATAACCAATAATCTTCACCACACTGGCAGCCTCCAACTTGCTATGTAGAACACCTGAGTTTAATTTCCAGAGCCTTTTCCCACTATCACCCCCACTAGGGGAGCATTAATGGAGGGCACTAGTTCTCAAAAAGAGTCATTTTGCCCCCAATGGGACTTCTGCCAATGTTAGAGACATTTTTGGTTGTCGCAGTTTGGGTGGTGCTACCACCATCTAGTGGGTAGAGGCTGGGTGCTGCCAAACATGGTCGTTGTCACCCTACAACAAAGAAGGATATGACGCAAAGTGTCAGTAGTGCAGAGGTTGAAAAGCCCTGATGCAGGGGAGGGTTGGGGTGCCCAGGAGTCAGACGTGCTTGACTTCTAATCCCGAGGCCTCTGCTTCCTCCCTGGGTGTCCTTAGTGACTAGTCACTTCACCTCAGGAAACATGGAGGATTTCTCTGCATTGCGTAAGAACCAATCCAATTCCACAGGTAGTGGGAGCCTAACACGTGCTGTGGACGCTGTGGACGTGTAGTACATGCAAATTTCCTTTTCTCTTTCCAGGTGAACATTTATTAGCACCTACAGTGGTGGGACGTGGATTAGGCTGAATGTTTTATAACAAACAAACGGCCTGAACCAAGCCAAAGAAGATATTAACTTAGTCTGAGAATTAAATAAATCATTGAATTACCAGGCATGCCCCCTCACCACCAAAGATATCCGTGTCCTAGTCTCTAGGACCTGTGAATGTTACCTTATATGGCAAAAAAAAAAAAAAAAAAAAAAAAGGACTCAGCAGGTGTGATTAAATTTAGAACTTTGAGATGGGGAGGTTTTCCTGGATGTTCCAGATGGGCCCTAAAAGAGATCACAAGCGTCCTTATAAAAGAGAAACAGAGGGAGAGTGGATGTGGGAGAGGAGGAAAAGCGATTTGATCACCAAGGCAGAGACTGGAGTGCTGTGAGCAGAAGCTCAGGAACACCAGTAGCCCCTGGAGGCTGGAAGAAACAGCAGATTCCCCCTCCTAGACCCCTGAGGGAGTGTGGTCCTGCCAACATCTTGATTTCAGACTTCCAGCCACCAGAACTATGAGAGGACAAAGTTGTGTTGTTTTCAATTAAGTTTGTGGTCTTTTGTTGCAGCAGCTACAGGAAGTTAAAACAGCAGGAGCATGGAGCTGGGCCTCCAGATAACTGCAGCTGGGTCCCTGATCTCCCCCACCCCTGCAAACCCCCCACTCTGCAGTTGCTGTGTGCACCAGTCCCTGCCGTCCCCTCAGACTCCTCTTAAGCTCATTCTATTCCAATACCCACCGGGTCTTAACCATACCAAGGTCCCTAAGTCATTCAACTGTCCACTCAGCGCTTCCTTCCAGAGGCCTCTCTGGACCACTCGATTCATACTGACATCTCCATCAAATACCCTGCGCCACTTCAGCTGTCTTCAGGGCATTTACTGCTCCTGGAAAAAAAAAAAAATGTGTGTGTGTGTGCACATGTGTGTTTCCTTGATAGGTGTTACTTGTCCCTACTAGAATTTGAGGTCCCTAAGGGCAGAAACCTAACTTTCCACCACTGTAGCCCCTCTCATTCAGTCCCCCCAAAACGATTCAAGGCACTGATCTGTGTGCCGTGAATGAAACAGTAAAGTCTGAGCTCTCAGTGCTCACCCACTCCGGAGAGAAGACAGACAATGAGCAAGCAAACTGACAAGTAGTGGGTTGCATGGAGGTGAGTGTGAGGGCACTCGTGATGCAGGATGAGTGGGACAAGGCCCCAGAGCAAGAGGGAGGGGACAGTACCTTATTTAGGGGTGAGTCAGAAGAATCTTCATGGATAAAGTGAAATCTGAACTGAGATCTGAAGGGAGGGACGGAGGAGACTCTGCTGATATCCTGGAAAAGCTGAAGAAGCACAAGGAACAGCCAGTGCAAAGTCTCTGAGGCAGAAGCGAGCTTGCCACAGCATGGAAACAACAAACGCCAAGCAGAATGCTTAGCCACATGTTAGACCCCAGTGAACATCTGAGGGGATGTGCAGGGTCATGGTGAAGTTCATTGTCTTGAAAATCTGGCTATATCAGTTCAATTCCAGTTCTCCTAATTATCCTTAGTGAGTTTCCCTTGGTTTCCTTATCTGTCAACTGGCAGGAATATGAGTACCACCCTTGTTAGGTAGTCTTGGCGGTGAAATGCATTGGTGCATGTGAAGAACTGCCTACACCTGGTGCACGGGAAGCACAACGTAACTGTTATGATTATAGGAAGCAGGCATGCAGTTATTATGCAGTTAACTTTATAAACAGCAATTGCCATTCGCCCCTTTGCAGGGAGTGTGGCATTTCACAGTGCCTGGCCACTTGTGACTTCAGCCACCAGAGGGCCCTACGCACCTCAGATTCCATTGGAAAACCCTAAAGAAAGTTGGTGGCCCTGCTTTGGTAAAAAGATTTATAGGGACATGGCAGTAGTAAGGGAGGGGAGAGTGTCCCCAAAAGAAGTGAAAGTGTGTGTGTGTTTGTGTGTTAGTTCAATGGCATCGGAGCACAATTTGGCAAACCTAGTAGAGCGGAAGAGGCACAAATTCTATATAACCCTCCAATTCTCCTTGTGATTATACACAAAGTAAAGGTGATTAATTCAGCCGTGGTGGGCATTCAGGAACACCTGCTGTCTTCAGGTGGAAAGGGTGGGAAATGACAGGGAGACAGTTCCTTAGTCCAGCCCCTCTGCTCTTTTGGAGCCTAGAGCTCTGCACAGACAAGATGACTTACCAAAGACAGAGAAGAGAGCCACAGGGAGGCTGCAGCCCATTCTCAAGAGTCCTGGTTGGGCCTCTGGATCTAACCAAGGAAAATGAGTGACTGCACTCCAGCCTCCCTGAATTGCAGCATCTATTTCTCTCTCTTCCCTCCTATTTCTCTCCCTTCCTGTGGCCCTTTATCTCTTTTCACTCCCACGGTTGCTGTCCCAACCTCAACCTCTGTACAAAGAGCCTGCACCAAGGCTGCCCCAGCCTCCATGGCAGCGAGAGATGTGTCTGTTCACATCATTCTCTTCAGGAAGAGCCCCTGGTTATTCCTCAGATAAAACCTAGAGCTGAAGGAAGAGGAGAGGCAGATACCAGTCAATAGGGGCCTGCTACATCCTGACAACCCAAGCATTGTCAAGCCTTCTCGCCCAGGCCTGGCAACTCCTTTTACCATGCCCCAACCCTGAACCCCAAAGACGGCCGCCTTGGAGATACAAGTTCCGAGTGCAGCTGTCTATCAACAGGTGGGGGAGGCAGGGGATCCCAGGCCTGCTCGCACACAGTACTACATGTTTCTCCACTCTATGCAGATGGCGCTACATGATGGCACTTTGCTACAGAGATCATCCTCAACCTTGCTTTTTAACTTATCATTTGAGGTTTTTACAGTGGATAAAGTTACCTGCAGCTCTAATTCATTCATCTTCACAGCTATACAGTACTCTGTTGTATCAATATATTATTACATCTGTGATATCCACTGATGGATGGAGACATCAGTGTTCCAGTTTCTCATTATCACAACAGAGACAGTTTCCTTGTGTTTCCTGGTGCATGCGTGCAAGAGTTCCCCCACTGTATACAACCATAGGGAGAACTGGAGAGTTATATAGGATTTGTGCCTCTTCAGCTCCGCTAGGTTTGCCAAATCATGTTCCAAGGCCATTGAGCCAACACACACTCCCACCATAGATGCAAGACAATTCTGACTGCCTCGTGCCCTTGCCAAGACTTCCTACGTCCAGAGTTGTGAAAGATTTTACTAGTTAGTGTTGAATAGGGAAAGAGGGCATGTCATTGTGGCTTTAATGGGTCACACTGCTGACTAATGTAGCTTAGCAGCTTTCCATACACAGGTCAGCAGTACTATTACTTCATTATTATTATCATTAGTGGATTTGGAGAAGCTGTGGAAAGTGAGAGTAATAGTCCCAACTTTGCTGAGGCAGTGACAACAGGAAGGTTGAGAGGTACTGGCACCTTCCCTGCATAAAAGCCCCTGGAAGGCTTGAACATCAGTTAAGAAATGTAGTTTGCTCCACCTAGCAGTTCTGCCTGGGCCACTAAGCTATAAAGGATCTAGTGCTTAGAGGGCTGGAGAAAGAGAGCAGGAGACACTGGCCCAGGGACACGCAGCTCCTGCCCACAGTGAAGTCACCACCAGTGAGGAGACAGCAGAGGACATGCCAATGGAAAGCTGGGGTGGAGCTAAAGATGGTGGAGGCTGGGACTAAAGGGTGGGTCTGGGGGCGAAGCTAGTGTGAGAAGGAAGGTGCGGATGAGACTGGAGGGGGCTTAGGATAAAAACTGGGGTGAAGGTGGGCCTTGGAGGTTAGGGGTGCATGTGGTACTGGGAGTGAAGTTAGAGATGAAAGTGAGGCTGGGTGGGTCAGGAAGTGGTGGTCGAGAGTCTGCAAGGTAGGGGCGAGGCTGGAGGGGGTAGTGATAGTGCAACTTGGGGATGGGCTAGGGGTGGGAGGGTGGGGCTGGAGGGTGGGGGCTATGGTTGGAAGTAGGCCAATATAGATAGAGCTGAGCCTTCAGCACTGTCCCCCTACCCAGTTTTGTTAGGAACACTTAGATAAGTGTTATATAAATGTAGTTTCAAGTTCGTGCCCTCACATCCCCTTCTAGTCAAATTGCTTCCCTAAACTCCTTCAGTCATTTAAACTGGAGCTGCCTCCAGAAATGAGACATAGGAATTGACCAGCACAGTGCCACAGGGCAAGGAGAGACAGGGTGGAGCAGTGGTTAGGAGCATAGTCTCAGGAGCTGTGCAGAATCTAGGTTCAAACTCATTTAGGAGTTTAGATTTCTCCATCTGTAAATGGAAATGATAATACTTCATAAGGTTTTCACAAGGATGAATGAGTTGGTGTATTTAAGACTATTTTTAGAGTGTCTGGGACCTAGAAAGTGCTACAGTTAGGGTTATGGAGGATGCCCCCAAGGCCTTTGGAGAAGGGGCCAGGGATCTCTTAGCCTAAAAAAGGGCTTTACCCAGTGGCACAAAAGTGAAGAAAGGGTGCCAATGAGATTTAAAAATACCAGCCAAGGAGCTGAATCTTCAGGAGCCAGCCACTCCTAGATCTTTAAGCTGGGGTAAATTGTTTTCAGTTTCCAGGGTGGAAAGACCTTTTGGGCCACCAAGTGTGAGCATAGTACGGCGTGAGCCTCTGGCCTCCTGGACTTTCTGGAAAGTTTGGACACATTTCAGGTTGAACATCAATGAATGAAAGGGGCAGGAACTGAGCACCAGGCCTGGGGCTGGGTGGCCTTGCAACGGAAAAGACTTTCTTGCACTGCAAAGAACAGCCTCTCCTTCCGCGTCCTGCCAGAACCTAGAACCTAGTGCGCCTGCTCCGAATAACCCAAACCTAGACCATAACTCATTTTTCAGATACACTTACAGTATTTTTTGCATGGTCTTAATATACACAAAATTTTCCAGGAAAGCAACTACTGTGTCACTTGAGGGAAGGTGGACTTTATGTGGTTCATAACTTAATTTTAAGAAGGGTCCTGACTGAGCCTTGGGACCTTGGGACACCTAAACTGAGACCCCACGAATGAGCAGGGGCTGACAAAGGGAAGAAGGGAAGTATCCCAGGCTCGGCAAAAGCAAATCTTAAAAGACAAGATTGTGTCTGAGAAGGTGTCCCTGGAGCAGAGACTTGAGGAATGTTGAGCGGCCAGTGAAGGGAAGGTATTCCAGACAAAGGTAACAGCAAAAGCAACGGCCTGAGGCTAATGCAGACCCGGCACATTCCAGCAAGAGGGGCAAGGAAGGTGCCTGGGGCAGAGGAAGCTAGTGATAAGCTGGTGGAGAAGACCCATTTCACAGGGGCTTTGCAGGACGTGATGTTGTCTTCTATGCTGGGTGAAACGGAGATCACAGAAGGGCTGCGGGCAGAGGAGTGTCCGGTTCGCGGTCTCTCGCCCCCAGCCCCCGCCGCCCACACATAATGTAAGCTGCCATAGCCACAGCCTTGGAAGAGCATCAAGCCATTGAAGCTCTCAGTAAATGTTTGAACAAGTAAGTGAATGATCGAATGAATAAATTAATGAAATGAGGGGATGAGTCAGGGAATAATTGAGACTCTGACTCCTTCAGGGATCCTTGATCCCACAGGCAGGTGTAAGACTCACCACGCCTCTCATCTTCCGCTCGGGAGCCGCCCCCGCTGTTAGGCTGCGGTCTGCGCTGCGGCCTCCAGAGGGCGCGGAGCGGCGGGGTTTCCCGCACGGAGGGCTTTGCGTAAGGCACCGCGCGGGGCGGGGCCTGCGGTCGGGCTTCCTGCGGCTGGACCCGACTGACAGGCAAGCGGAACGCCAGAGCGGGGCTGGGGCTGTGCGGAGGCGGCCGGCGTGGTTTTGAAAGCGCACAGAGTGAAGATGGCGGCGGAGCGACAGGAGGCGCTGAGGGAGTTCGTGGCTGTGACAGACGCCGAGGAGGACCGGGCCCGCTTCTTCCTCGAGTCGGCCGGCTGGGACCTGCAGGTATCGCCGCAACGCTGGTTGTATCGGGTGGACAGGGGGCTGTGGGGCGCGGGCGCCTAGCAAACTAAGCCCGAGGTGGCCGAAGCGCACAGTCATCCCCGCCCGGCTGCGGCCCGACCCAGGCCTCATGGTCCTGGGTCCGCTTGTCACGCGTCGCGGGTTCAGCTTGGGAGCTGGGGAGCGCAGGATAGCCCTAGCCTCCTTTGCTGCGCCTCACCTTCTCTCTGTCTCGCCGGCTGCCGGCGTTAGCAAGACTTTGGGCACTGCCGCAGCCGGCGTGGAGCTGGGGTATCTGGGGGCGTGGCTGCCGCCCAGAGCTTCTGGAAGCCAGGCTGGCCCGAATGATCAGCTCTTGAGTGAGGTAGAGCTCGGGACCTGGTGGTTGATCATTTCCATTTTCCAAGCCAGACAACCAGAGAAAAGAAGAGCAGAGCCCGGAGTTGGCCCACGCCCCCTCCTACCTGATTACTGGGAGAAACTCCCTCTGGTTTGGTGGTACAAGGTTGGAGCCTCTTTATCTCTCTTAGTTAATTTATCAGTAGGATGGGATTCTCATGGAAATTGCTTTCTAGTTCATGTCATGTGCTAAGTATTCACTAAATATTTGCTGATTGATTAAGAAGAGTTAAAATAAATTTTACGAGGCAGGGATTTTTGTACCCTGATCAGTCCCCACAGCCTGCCCTAGAACAGTACCTGGCATATAATAAGCACTCCATAATTAACTGCAGAAAGAATTGCATAAATGTTCTTGGCAAGCCTACGTCTTAAGTCGATGATGATGATGATGACAACTAATATTTATTGAGTACCTAGCATGAGCCAGGCACTGTTCTAACTGCTTTACATGCAGGGGCTGACACAGGGAAGAAGGGAAGTTAGTGCCTAACTGCTTTACGTCTTATGTCATTAACCTTAGCATTTTGCAGCTGAGATTTGGGAAGGCTGAGTAACTTGCTGAAGGCTTCATTTACCAAGCAGAAGAGATAGGATTAAGAACTCAGTTCTGTTTGATTCTAAGCAAACAGAGTCCAAGCTCTTGCCACCATCCTGGCAACACTGTGAGGTAGAGACTAGTCCCATTCTATGGATGAGGAATTGGAAGCACAGAGGGCAAAGAATGTGCCCAAGGTCACACAACCAGTAAGTATTGGGAATGAGATTTGACCGGGTCTGTGCCAAATGTAAATTGCTTCTCAGACGTAGGAGAGTTAGTAAAGCATCACACTTGTGCAGACACAGTGTGAAGCCCTGGGCAGAAATAAACAGAAAAGTTTTCTGCCTGAAAGACATAAAAACACAGTATTATGATCAACAGGTCATCTATCTCATTTTCATAGTATAGATGGGGAAGCTGAGGCTTGTGCATGTGATGTGAGTTGCCTAGCAGGGCCAGGACTTGAATGTAGGCTCTTTGAATGCCAGCATGTCCTGGGACAGCACACTGCCTCCCTGCCATTTGGTTTTGTCCCGTAACAGCTCACTGCCTCTTATAAGGCTGATGACATTGAGGATATGAGCTGGGTCTATTTCATCTTTATCACCTCAGTGCTCTTTCTGAGTAAGTGATTGGCAATTGTCTGCTGAGGTGGTAAGAGAGATATACAGTGACAGATGGCCAAAGGACTCCCATATTCCTTTACATGTATAGACCTAAGACATGAGTGTTCATAAATCTTAATGGATCATCTCATCCAGTGTGCAGGGCTGGTGGGATGGGTGTTCCCATTTCACAGATTAGGAAAAGGATGCAGAAGAAAGGAAGAGTTGCAACCTGGACTGACTTCATAGCTCTGAATCCTAGCTATAATGGAAAAGTTTAACAGTGAGAACCTAAGCAGACGGTCTGGGATCAAACCTAGTTCCAACCATCTAGCCTTGGACAATTTAACTTCATAGTGCTTCTGTATCAACTGTAAAATGAGATGATAACAGTACTAATAGTAGAGTTCAATGAGGACTAAATGAATTAACACATGTACAATGCTCAAAACAACCTGGCCCATAAATAACCAATCAATAAATGTGTGCTGCTTTTACGAGATCACGTTTCTTCGTAAGATGGGAATGAGGAGGAGTGTCTTGCACTCCAACCTTCCTTCATTAGTCTAAGTGAAGACTAATAGGCTGTTACCTGTTGGTCTGATTTTCTGTGGCCCCTCGTTATTTAAGTATGAGCCATATTTTTATTCCTTGATGCTCAAAGGAGGTATGTATTAGGTGAAGACCCGTTTAAGGGACCCATAGTACTACCTCTCTGTTTCAGATTGCACTAGCGAGCTTTTATGAGGACGGAGGGGATGAAGACATTGTGACCATTTCACAGGCAACCCCAAGTTCAGTGTCCAGAGGCACAGCCCCCAGGTAAGGGCCAACTTCAATTATTGCAACATGCATGTTTCCAGCAGTGATGTGGAGATATTTTCTGACTTGGCAGAAGGTTCAGGTCTGGGTGTGTGGACCAGTGGGGTTGAGTGAGAAAGTTAGACTGAGTGATGGGTAGCAATTCCCTGCAAACTTTAGTCATTTCCTGTAGATACATGTGTGACTCTTGCCTGAGTATAGTTTGTGGCTTAATCCTGGGGGAAGCTATAGAACCTATATTTAAGATTTTTGAGTCTCTTTGTTTTACAAAATGTAAAGAATGACTGCTTCATCTCTGAAGTTTTGAAGTAGAAGCTAAAGGGCTTCCTTTCAGGGGTGCTATAGATTTTAAAGAGTAAGCTAGATGACTTTACAAAGGCTGTTTTGATACTTATGGATACTCATTGCCATATTAAGAAGTCTTATAAAACTTATAAACTATATAACCTACACTTTCCCAAGTTGACTAGGAAGACCTTATTTTTTTAGGTAAAATAATGTTAACTGTTATGATCCCCTTTGCCTCCGTGGCTCCCACAGCAGATCACTACTATGATCTGCATAATGAGACAATGCTGGTCTTCCAGGAGACAGGTGGGGCACTTTCTGCAGAAGTGTCTGAACTATGACTCCCCTCTTGGCTTTAGCCCGTTTGCTTCTAAGAACTCTCTGATACATGTTTTAGCCAGAAAGTTTTATTTAGGTTTGAATTCAGCCTCAGAATATAGATATTGTGTTTATTTGCTATAAAGTAATAGATTATGTTTCTCTCCAGGGCATCTGAGGTTTAAAGTACTTTTCCTCCCTACACCTCATTGCATCTTTAGCTTCTTGCCCTAACTCCCATCTCCAGAGAAAAGAGGTAGTAAGGTGCTCTTTCACTTATTTGCAAGTGCTAACCTATGAGGTACCAGTGATGGCACACTGGGATATTACTGCCTGGGATGGGGTTGTATGGTTGGGGCTATTCTTACAGCTGCTGATAGAGATGGCTGACTTCCTCGGTGTGAGTTTCAGCAACCACGTCAGTTGTTGAGGTGTTGCCATATCAGAAGTACAGAAGGGTTAATCGTTTGTACCCTTGTATTAATCTGAAAATTTTTTTAAAAGGTGGGGGAGTACAGAATTTGAAACTTGGCCCCGCATGCCAGCCACATGTTTACTCCTTTCTTCTCTAGTCGTCCCAAAGTCTTTTCCAGGCAGTGGTTTATTAGCATGGGCCCAGGAGCCTGACTGCCTAAGTTCAAATCTCAGTTCTGCCACTGAAGTGCTTTATGACCTTGGGCAGGTTACTTAACATTTCAGTGTCCTTCGTTTTCCTCGCCTGTCTAATGAGAAGGATAATCTAATGAGGTTAATACTTACAAAGGATTTTGAACACCGTATGTGTTCGTTGCTGTTGTCATTTTATTATCATTTATAGCATCCATTTTCAATATCCCTGTTCTATGTACCCTGCCTATGCCACAAGTACACATATGTTAAAATAGACATAAAAGTAAAAGAATCAAGAAAATAGTAGTTTAACATTAAGACTGAAGTGAATAAAAGACTGGGTACACATTCAGACTCAAGAAGGCTTGTCTTACTACTTTAGTTAAGCCTTATACTGCGTATTGGGCTTAGATGAAGCCAAGAAAAAAGGAGTAGAAGGGCACAGCTTGTTATGTTGTCATCCTTGTCCAGGAGGAAAAAACTGAGTGCATTCTCAGACTAAGCCAAATTTGTGCTTAGTACCTCAGGAAGTTCTGAGTGGGACCTGCCCCGGCTGTGACCTAACTGTTGCTGGACACTTAGCCTGTTACTGGGCTCTCCCATCTCTCACAGTCATCTTCTCAAATACCTTTCATTTTGCCACTGCTGCCTTAGAGAAACAGTCAGTGAGTTCCTCCTTTGACTCCAGAATGGGGATTCTTAATGTGGCACCCCTATGCCCTAGGAGGGAGTTTATGGAATTGATATGAGGTCTATAAATTATCTGAAATTATAGGAAAAAGTTTATATGTTGGCAGGCATCTTTCTGGCAAGAGAGTCTGAGGCTTTTATGATATTCTCAAAATATCATAAAATATGAGACATAAAAACGTTGGGACATAAATACGTTAACCATTTCTATGAGAGAAAGTCTAAACTCCTCAATAATAACAGCTGCCATTTACTGGGTACTTACTAGGTGCCAGGCACTGGACTTTACATATACATCTTTTTCATTTTCACAACAACTCCATGAGGTGAGTACTGTTGCTATTATCCCCATTTTACAGATAAGGAAACTAAAGCTGGGCATCTTTCCAAGATCATCCCAGAGCAAGTAAAATAGGATTAAAATGCAGAGCTGTTTCTGTATTTAGCACCTCAGCTGTCAGCTGCAAGAATGTACTGCCTTTCCTTGTGGACATTCCAAGTCCTTTAGAGTGTGCCCTGAACCTACCTTCCTAATCTTACTCTGTTTGCCTCATTTCTTACATTCTTTGGTCTAACCAAACTGATTTCTTTGATGTCCCAGTCTGCCTTATTTTTTATTCTCCTGCATTTGTTGAAGCCTCTCACTTGATTGAATCTGCCTGCTCTTGCTGTCTATCCAAATCCTGTGCATCTTTCCATGTTCGCCTCCATCCCCACTTCTCTGTTGAACATGTTATGTTATTCTACATAACACATATAACACATAGCACACCGCAGTCCTCTTCCTCAGAACTCTGGTCACAAATATAATTCATTCACTTCTTTTACTGTGTACTACTGAGTAACATTTCTTTGATTAATTGCCCTGAATTCTTTTCCTGATATTTAACTTTATTTCTCTCCCTAAGTAAATTGTAAGTTCCTGAAAGTGGGATGGCCAGTATTTCAAGAGTACTCACTGTCTGTCTAGCTCTACCAGATATTCTTACCCATGTTCTTTTGCTGTACCTCTCAGCATCTTCAAAAGTAGGTAGGATGCTCACCATTTCACAAGCCATTTTCTGAGTCTTAGATAGGTTGAGTAACTTATAGCCGCTGGCAGATTCAAGGCCATGTCTATGTAAATTCACACTGCTTCTGCCTCATGCTACCTCCTTCCCAGCACCTCCCACCCCCATGCACAGAATCAAGCAAGAAGTTAAAAGTTAGTTTCTTACTGTTGTTCCCTCTTTCATCAAACAAAAGTTATAATTTTCTAGAAAGGACCATCATTGTTTGATTCTCTAAACTACACTATCCAATAAGTTAGCCACTAGTGACCTTAATTAAAATTAAATAAAACATTGTTATTCATTTGCACTAACCACATTTCAAATGCTGTAGTCAGATGTAGCTAATGGCTCCCTATTGGACAGTGCAGATATGGCATTTCCATCATCATGGAGAGCTGCTATCACCAGAGTAGCCTGTGAGATAGAATTTTAATGCCAAACAATTAACTTTCTAAGACATTCCAGTTTGTGGAGACCATAGAACAAAGTATTCTGATATTGGTAACGTCTCCAGAACACCCATGCTATAAAGTTACTCAAAATATTACTTCAGAGTAGTGGTTCTCAAACTTGAATGTGTACCAGAATTATAGGGACACCTCCTTAAAACTAGATTACTGGGTACCCCTTCTGTAGTTTCTGATTCAGGACGATTACGGTGAGGCCTAAGAGTTTGCACCTCTCATAGGTTTGCTGTGATGCTGATGCTCCTGGTCCATGACCAAGCTTTGAGAACCACCACTCAAGAGTAGTACTTAAATGATGTACTACATACAAAGGGCTGTACATGCATCAGTACCCCACCTGTACACAGAAAGCCCATAAGGTTGGTGCTGTGATAGTTTCCATTTACATGTGAAAAATTGAAGACTCAGAGAATTTAAATAGCATGCCCAAGATCCCAGGGGTAGAGGCAGAGTTGAGATTGGAATTAGGTACATGGAGGTCAGAAGCTATGTCAGATACCATCAGAGTCTGGGTATAAGAATTTTTGGAGCATGTAGTTTGCTCAAGCTAGTATACACATGTATATTTGAAAGTGCTTAACAATGGAGAGATAGAGGATTTTTTTTTTCCATAGATACTCATCCTAGCCCCGTTATTTGAAGAAACTGGGCTATGTATCTATGGAAAGCAAGAATGAATAGAATAAGCCTCTGAGGGCACTAATACAAATCTTATCACGTGGATCATTTGAACCATGTTGTATCGAGTATCAGCTAATGCCCAAGAGGCTGCTTTCAACAGCTAACAAACAAAGCATGTCCATTTGCTGCCTTCCCTCATTCTAGTTGATGGGACCTCAGAGCCTCTTTTTATCCCTTGATTGTCTCCTTGAAATAAATCTTTGGCTCGGTGCCTGTAGCTCAAGTGGCTAAAACTCCAGCCACATACACCAGAACTGGTGGGTTCAAATCCAACCCGGGCCCACCAAACAACAATGATGGCTGCAACCAAAAAAAATAGCCAGGCGTTGTGGCGGGCACCTGTAGTCCCAGCTACTTGAGAGGCTAAGGCAAGAGAATCACTTAAACCCAGGAAGGAGTTTGAGGTTGCTGTGAGCTGTGATGCCAGAGCACTCTACCCAGGGTGACAGCTTGAGGCTGTGTCTCCAAAAAAAAAAAAGAAAGAAAGAAATCTTTACCACTGAGCAGGAGCGTTCTTCCCAGTAAACAACTCCTCTCTGTTAAGCCTATGTTACCCTCATCCCCCATGGTATAGGGAAGCTACTTTCCCCCTAAGAAATATAGAAATTTTTTTATGTTTATAGAACTTGCATCTCATGATCCTTGAAAAACTAGCCTTGTTCCTTGATCTAAACTTGGAAAAAAGTGACAGTGGAAGACAGTGTCAGAGGAGGAAGTTAACCCTTCACACACTCATTTTAGGTCTCCCTTCCCTGCACAACATTGCCTTTTTCCTAAATATTAATAAATACTTTTTTTCTTGACTACCCTACAGACAGGGGCTTTCTCTCCCCAGTTGCTGTCATCCACATATTCATTTGATTTTTACTTCTTGACTATTTATCCTTTGATGTGTTACAATTTGTATATGCTGCCTTTCTATAATGCTGTATCAATCGCTTTTCCCCACCAACCCCACCACCCTTTTGCCACCTGATTATCCACCAGTTCTTTGGCACTTGGTCCAAATATCACATTCTTCTGGGAAGTCTTTCTTGATGTTCCTCCATCCCTCCTGCCCCCCACAGGATGAGGCTCTGTGTACTACATGAGGCCTGTGTACTTCCCTCCGTGACCTATCGCACAGTATTTAGTGGATGGTTTTCTGGCTCACCTGTGCCATTAGCCATTAAGTAACTCAAGAGTAAGAACCATGTCTGGTTATCTTTATAATAATAGTATTCAATTCATTGCCTGGCATATAGGCATTTCTTCAGTATTTAAAAATCAAGTGATGAAAGTAGCTATCCAGTAAAAAGTTTTAAAGTAGTACAGACCCTGTATCTCCCTAAACTTCTACCAAGACAGCTTAAGTGGGATTTCATTTACCTCATAGTAGCACTTTTTTTTTTTTTTTGCAATTTTTGGCCGGGATAGGGTTTGAACCTGCCACCTCCGGTATATGGGACCAGCAGCCTACTCCTTTGAGCCACAGGCACCACCCACACAGTTGCACTTTTTATTTTCAGTCCTGTGTAACCTTGAAGAAATAAATGCCACATTATTTCACATATAAACTAAGGGGATTAACTTTTTTCCCTATACATTCTCTTCTTGCTCTACCAGAAAAAGAAAAATCTAGCTTCAGTGTCCTTAACTTCTTGGTAGCTGATACTGGAGGTTATTCTCCCTGACATCGTTTTGCTCCTTTATGTCTCTCTAGTGATAATAGGGTGACATCCTTCAGAGACCTCATTCATGATCAAGATGAGGACGAGGAGGAAGAGGAAGGCCAAAGGTAAGTGTTTGATGGGGAAGTGGGGGACACGGGGGCATACAGTCCATAGAAAAGTCCTCAGTAATATGTAAATCACATAGAATAGGCCCTGGGGAACATGATGGTTAATGTTAGCCATGACTATTGCAGGCTTATATCCTGCAGGGTTACGTCCTGGGAACAGTCTCTTAACTCCCTGTTAACTCCCTTAACTCCCTTCCCCCATTTCTCTTTCTTCTTTTGTGACATTCTTGGTTTGTTTTTGTTTTTCTAATTATTAAAATACTGTGTATTTATTGAGGAATATTAGGGAGAAGGAAACAAACTGTTAAAAAATGATCTAGCAGTCCCACTTCAGGGCATTTACCCAAAAGATTTGAAATCAGTTTGACAAAGAGATGTCTACACTCCCATGCTCATTGCATCACTATGCACAGTAGCCAAATTATGGAGTCACCCTAAGTATCTTATTAACAGATGAATGGATAAAGAAAATGTGGATATATATACAATAGAATACTATTCAGCTTTTGAAAAGAAGGAAATTCTGTCCCTAAGTAAAATAAGCCAGGCACAGGGGAAAAATATACCTCATGTTCTCACTTTATATGTAGAACCTAAAGAAATCAAATTCATGGAAGCAGAATGTGGTTACAGAGACCAAGGGTGGAGGTAACAGGGACAGGATTGTCAAAGGGTACAGGAGGAATGTGGCTTGTTTTTATGTGGGTATGAGATCTATTGCACAGCATTATGAATATAGTTAATAATAGAATATTGCACATTTCAAAATTGCTAAGAGTAAATATAAAATGTTCTCCTTCACAACATTGTGCGTTATTTGATGTGATGGATAACTAGTTTGATTTAATTACTCTACATTGTATTCGTAAATCATAATATCACTTTTCTCCATAAATATTTACACTTATAAATTGCCAATTTACTATTAAAAAATTTAAGGAGAAAATACATTATATCATAACCCAGATGTAACTAGGTATCAATTTTTTTGGTGTATTTCTTTCCAGCTTTCTTTTTTTGTTTGTTTGTTTGGTTTTTTTGAGACAGAGTCTCACTTTGTCCCCTTTGTTTAGTTTTTTTGAGACAGTCTCACTATGTCACCCTCAGTAGAGTGCTATGGCATCACAGCTCACAGCAACCTCAAACTCTTGGGCTTAAGCCAGTGGTTCTCAACCTTTCTACTGCCACAGACCTTTAATACAGTTCCTGTGGGTCGCGACCCACAGGTTGAGAACCACTGGCACTCTCTGTTCCAAATCTTCTGACTTATCTTATTTTCTTCGTTCCTTATTTCTGAGACTGGAAGAACATTCTTCCATGTCAGTGATTTAATTCTCAACAGTGACTGTCTCTTTTTTGATCCTATATGAAGATTTTAATTTTGCCACTGAAATTTTGATTTTCCTATCTATTATCACTCCTTAGCCCAGCAACCCACAGGAACCGTATTAAAAGGTCATGGCATTAAGAAGGTTGAGAACCACTGGCTTAAGTGATTCTCTTGCCTTCAGCCTCCCAGGTAGCTGGGACTACAGGCACCTGCCACAATGCCCAGCTATTTTTTTTGTTGCCATTGTCATTGTTTTTTAACAGGCCTGGGCTGGGCTCGAACCCACTAGCTCTGGTGTATGTGGCTGGCATGGTAACCACTAAGCTATGGGTGCTGAGCCATCACTTTGTCACCTTTAGTAGAGTGATATGGCATCATATTTCACAGCAACCTCAAACTCCTAGGTTTAAGCGGTTCTCTTGCTTCAGCATCCCAAGTAGCTGAGACTACAGGCGCCTGCCCCAACACCCAGCTATTTTTAGAGACAAGATCTCGCTGTGGCTCACACTGGTCTCTAACCTATGAGTTCAGGCAGTCTACCCACCTCGGCCTCCCAAGTGCTGGGTGTACAGGTGTGAGCCACTGTGGCCTGCCGGCCCTCCAGCTTTCTTTTTAATTTAAAAAGAACATATTATAAACATACGTGTATATCATCCCAACACACACACCTACCATTTGTTCTTAACCTTTAGGAATGTTATAATTAAAGTGTCCATCATGGCAAATACAGACTAGTGTAATTTAAAATGTAATCATCTACTCTTTTGGTAACTATGCTTAATATTTTGGCATGTTTCTTTTGAGTCTTTGTTCTTTATTTTATTTTATATTTGTATGTAAAAAGCAAAAGATTTATTCAATCTGAAGAGAGACCACAGTATTTTTATATTTATATGTAGAGAAGGTCGGTTAATTTTGTTTCTTGCTCTTGTTGGATTAATGCTACACACCATGTCATTAAAGTTCTTTATGAGTGTGCTTGCTTCGGCTGCACATATACTAAAAAATTCTTTATAAGCATTTTCAGTCAATGACCATAGTAATAATCCAGCATATGGGATATCTGACATTTAGGTTGTTTCCAGTTTTTTTTACTACTGTAAATTTCAGTGCTATGAACATCTTTGTGCATTATCTTTCAGATTATTTTTTAGAATAGTTCTTAGAAATAGAAATACCAAGTCAAGGGCATGAATTTTTTAAGGCTCTCGATCACAAATTCCTAGTTCTTAAGAAAAGGCTTTGCAGTCCCTTAATGAAGACCTTACAGTCCGTTGAGCAGAACGTCATCTACCTGGAATGAGCAGGAATGAACTGGCTATAGCCTCATTTCATGGGTTTTGGTTCTCCATCGGATCTGCCTTGGTCTGTCAAACATTCCTGAGGAACAGTGCATAATAACCATTATGGAAATGCAGTTACCTCATCATGGTCAGTCTTTGGGAAGTGAGCTGAGAAATTACATGTGTTCTGTTCTCTGTTTTCATCCATTTTGTGACCTTCACACTGCTTCAGAAACTTCCTTTTAGATAGATTCAGATGGAGGAATGAATATATGTTAATTTCAGGATTTTACAGTTCTGAGTGAAAGGCGTGCCATCAAGTATGTGAATGCCTACCTCCTAAATAGCCGCCTCCTAGCCAGCACATCCTTCGGGAAGTGGCCTTCCTCAATTTCACATCCCTATTACTTCCTTGACCCTTCAGCTTTTCAGACTTGAAAAGACACTGGTACTTTTGTTCTTGCCAGGGCCTGTGGGTTTGCCTCACGTTTCCTGATTATCAGGAAATATAGGGCTGAGACTAATTTTTATTGGTTCTCAATTTTCCCTACTTGGTGACATGCCTTTGACACCCAGCTGTGAATAGGCGTGAGAAGGAGACAGTTGGCCAGGCTACATGACAGCTGGTTTTCAAACCCAGGTAAAAAAGTACTAACTTAAATCTCAAGCTATGCCTGGTCTATCACAAAGCCCATTATCGTACCTTGGGGCTTATGTTTGAGACTGGAACTTCCCTGACCTCCAGTACTCTGTCTTCAGGGCCTCCAGTGTATCTCACATGAATGGCAAGGTGAGGTGAGGCTTGGGGGCATTCTTGGTGCTATATCACACCATCTTACCTGTGTGCATTACTCTGCTTGTTCTTTTGCATACATCTGCTGATTTGAACCTCACGACCCTGACTTAAGGAGCAGGTAGGTAGGGCATGTGGTCCTTCCTTTCCATTTCAGAGATTAAGGAAAGTGAGTTCCAAAGCAGTACATTGACTTGCCCAAGGTCACACAGTGGTAGAGCCAGGACTAGAACCCCACTGCTTGTACTAACCACACTATTGCCACCATTAATCCAGAGCTGCTAGTTGTAGCTGCTTCTGGCTGTGACCATAGTTGCTGTCTTCTGGAGGTGCTGGCCACCAGCAGTCTGATAATTCCCAGCTGGGACTCTCTCCTAAGTGATGTGCTGTCATGCATGCCTGGAATGCCATTCCCTGATTTGTTCACTTGGTAAACTCATCCTCAAGACTCGGCCCAGAAGACACTCTTCTAGGAAGCCTTGGCTGTCATTCCTCGCTCAGTGTTCCCAGAAACCCCTTCCTGACATTTATTGCTGCTCACACTGCATTGTACCTGCCTGCCTCCTTACATGTGTCCCCTACTGCCAGTAAGTTCTTCAAAGACAGGCATTGTACTCTTCACCTCAGTGTGCCCAGCATTTAGCCTAGAACCTATTGCATGCTATATTCATGTTTTCAAAGTACGTTTGGTGTTAGAGGTGTATTTTCTACACAGGTTTTATGCTGGGGGCTCAGAGAGAAGTGGACAGCAAATTGTTGGCCCTCCCAGGAAGAAAAGTCCCAACGAGCTGGTGGATGATCTCTTTAAAGGTGCCAAGGAGCATGGAGCCGTAGCTGTAGAGCGAGTGACCAAGAGCCCTGGAGAAACCAGTAAACCGAGAGTGAGCATAAGGGTCGTTGTCTGTGCCCACAGGAATCAAGTTCCAGAGCTGGGAAAGGAGAGCTTCTTCACCCCAGTAGTGACTGATTTGGGTTTGGGTTTTTTCCCATTTGCTCACTTGGTCTCCTATGTATAGTTTCTCTTACCCTTTAACGTGAAACCAAGATTTGAGGGAAAGTTTTTAAACCTGTGACCTATAGTCTGGATCAGGTCCTACAAACATGTTTTGTTAGGCCTATCTAGTTTGACCTCCTTGGTGTTTTGCTTTGTTTTGTTTTAATTGAATTAATAGCCACCTGTTTTATGTAAAATCTGGGTTTCTGTCTTCTTTGGGAAAATCAAAGTCTTTGATACTATCCTGTACCAAATTACTAACCAGACCTTAGTTGCAGCTTTTCCCTTAAGCAGGGTATCACTCCTTCCTATCCCAACCCTGCACTTTCCAGCTTTCACACCAATCCTGGCCATTTAATTCATCCTGGCCACTTAATTTGCTTAGCATACTGTCTAGCACTGAGTTTGACACCCAGAGAAAGTACATCTAATTATTAACAAGCTTGAGCAGGAAATTTATCAAACTCCTTTCTTCCACTTACCTAAGATATACTTATTGTATCTGAATAACCCCCCACCATGACTCAACAGCTCCAATGTTTCTGAACTTGTCCTTTATAGCCATTTGCAGGAGGTGGCTACCGCCTTGGGGCAGCACCAGAGGAAGAGTCTGCCTATGTGGCAGGAGAAAGGAAACAGCATTCCAGCCAAGATGTGAGTGTGTATCTATTAATACCATCCCACCAGGGAAGCTTGTGGACTGTTTGTTCTGCCATTTTTCAGAAGAGAATGGTTACCTATTGTACATGAACCAGCATCCTCTAGCGTACAGAGATGGTGCCCTTGCTGTATAATCCATGAATGGAGAGGTTTATGAGAAAATCAAAGGCAGCTCTCATCTGCCTGGGAGAGGGGTTCCGGTGAGAATGGGTGGGAAAGGGAGATGGACAAATGAAGGAGTTTTCTGAACATTCCAGGGATCTCAGGAGAGGAACAGTATAGCTGGTATGTTCTCTGGTGGTATGGGAATATCTAAGGAGCTTGGTCTTCATACCACCTGTGAAGGCCTGAAATGTAACTTTTTGTTTTCCTGATTATTGTCCAGTACTTTCTTTCCCCTGTGCACATAGGGTCTCCCCCATAAGTGTAATCATACTATAGAGATAATCTTGAATCTTTTTTATTTTATATTATGTCACAAACATTTTCTGGTAGCATTGAGACCATTAATTTTTATAATGTATGTTTTAAATCATTTTGGGTTTTATTCCAAAATAAAGTCAAGCAAGAAGAAAATAAAAAACCTACCTAAAGCAGCAGCTGCTAATACATTAGTTTTTAGCCTTCTATAATAAATCCTTAGTTACAAATATATATGGGGAGTTGCTAAAACAGATAACATAGATATCATTTTTAATGACTACAAAATAGTCTGTGAGTAGATTTGCCATGCTAATTTAGTCAAACACCAGCTACATACCAAGCACCCTGGTAACACTACAGATAAGGAAGCCACAGCCTCAACTAAGACACCTGCTCAGAGCTACCAAGTTAGTGAGTGGCAAAGTCAACACACAAATCCCGGCTTCCTTAAAAAAGTACATGCTCTTAACCTGTGCTATACCATCTTCCTTTTCTAGGTTAATATTTATTTACTTTGCTGGTTGATTTTTCTTTGAATACGTATGTGTTTGTGTCTGTGTGTTTTAGTAATACCAACACAATGAAATAGTAAAAACCTGGTAATTTGCAAATTCAGGATATTGTGCTTTCAAGGTTCCAGACAGTGTATTAATTGTTTACCCCCTGTCATCACAGGTTCATGTAGTATTGAAGCTTTGGAAGAGTGGATTCAGCCTGGACAATGGTGAACTCAGAAGCTACCAAGACCCATCTAATGCCCAGTTTCTGGAGTCTATCCGTAGAGGGTGAGCAGAAAAGCCCTCCTTTAGGTCCCGAAGCAGTGAGTCTCGATTCCAGATGGGAAAGGAAGAAGCAGAATATTTATTATTTGAGAAGCGAATATTTGAAGCAGATTTAGCGCAGTCAAGATTTAAATTCATGGATCTGACTAAAAACCTTCTGTGTCCATTTTTCACCTTTGGGCCTGGGACAGAGCCAAGTGGCCAAATAAGAAACAGGTGTCTGCTGTGACTGAGCAGGCAAGAGAGAAGGAAAGGCAGACGGTAGCCACTAGAGTAGTGAGCTTCCTGCAGAGGCCCATCATTTTTCACCACTGGGACTAGGAGGTTGCATCTCTGCTCACTTCCATCTTCTCTCCGTGGACTCCAGCATGGCCTTTTCTCCTGCAGGGAGGTGCCAGCAGAGCTGCGGAGGTTAGCTCACGGTGGGCAGGTGAACTTGGATATGGAGGACCATCGGGACGAGGACTTTGTGAAGCCCAAGGGAGCCTTCAAAGCCTTCACTGGCGAGGGTCAGAAATTGGGCAGGTAAGGAGCAGCACCGGTGGGAGCTGGACTATGTCAGTCACACCTGCCAGGCATGAGAGACCTCGTGTATCATTTACTTTGGTTAGAACTTTACTGTTTATAAACTTCAAATTTTACTTTTAGGGAAGGAAGAGTATGGAGAACATGGCTTCCGAGTTAACAGAACTCAGTTTCTATCTCTGCCTCTTTGCTTTCTAGCTGTATGACCTTGGACTGTATAGTCTCCCTTGCCTCAACTATAAGTTGGGATTAATGTTCAGCACAGTGGCTCGCACCTATAATCCCAACACTTTGGGAGTCCAGGGCAAGAGGATCACTTAAGGGCATGAGTTTGAAACTAGCCTGGGCAACATAGTGAGACCCCATCTCTACAAAGAGTAAAAAAAATAGCCAGGTGTGGTGGCATGTACCTATAATCCCAGCTACTCTGGAGACTCAGGGAGGAGTCATTTGAGCCCAGGAGTTCCAGAATGTGATCGTGCCACAGCACTCTGCCCTGTGCAACAGAGTGAGACCCTGTTTCTAAGAAATTAAAAATAAGAAAATTAAAAAATAAATTAGGACTAATGTGAGTCACTATGTCCTGGAATTAACGTTGGGAAGAATAAATGAGCTGATGCATGCAGAGCACTGCCCTGTAGTGAGCAGTCAGTATAAACAGAAAATGTAACGCAATTGCTGCTTTGACTCAGTAATCTAGAGTGTTCCAGAATGGTGTGTATCCTTGATAGCTTGAGGCTGAAGTGGAGGTTCCAAGGGAGTAAGGAATTTTATACTCTCCCACCCAGCCAGGGCTCACAGTAGCATTGCTCAGGATCCAGGGAAGCCTAAGGACACTGCTATTGCTGTGTAGGCTGGTGCTCCACCATTGTGGCAGCTCAACAGCTCTTGTCTATACTTTTTTGGCCTTTTCTGACATTCTTTCACTCCCTAAGACTTTTCTACCTTGTATCTTCTGTGACTGCCTTATTTTCTTGCTTGTATACCTTTTGCCATCAGACATTCTCTTATCTTGCATGGAAACCCCTGATAGGATCTGATTGTTAATAGTTACTGTTATCCCTGATAGGCAGAGTTCTGACTCCAGACCTATAGGGCCACAGAGTTGTTTGGTCAATATTCTTTAGAGGGACTGTACACATGACAAGCCCTCAGAACATAGTACCCCTTCTTGCCGATATAATGCTTATTTTGCGGAAGGAAAGCTAAGGCTCTTGAACTCAGGAGCTTGCCCTTGGGTATGTGACCAGTGTATGGTAGAGCCAGGACTGAAACCCAGGCCTCCTGATTGGCATTCATTCCTTCCCCCATTCCTGCACAGCACGACGTCCCCTCTCCACCGTCTGCAGAGCTCAGAGCTTGGTCTCCCAGTACCTGTGCCATGTGAGCTTTCGGCTGACCTTGTCTTGAGATGCCCTACCTCCCTGTCAGCCAGTCATGCCTCATCAGGAACAAGGGTCAGAGCTCAGGATATTCGATTTACCCAGATCAGAACAGTTATGTCAGCCCTGTTGTAATTTCCTTTGGAGGCTTCCTTCCATTGGAGGCTGTGGGCTAGCTCAGAGTGGCTATTCTCAGAGTAAGTTTCCCTGTCAGTTGTGGTGAACTTTGAGGAGCATCTGACAATTTTTTTTTCTTTTATCTTAAAAAATATATGTAGATTAAAAATTATCCCAAACCTAATACCCAAAAGTGTCCAGTTAGTATCTGGGGAGTATCTCCTACTCTTGTTCACTTACATAACGTGTGTGTTTGTGAGCGGGCTGTTTTCCCACCTCCTTTTGTCCTAATCAGTGAAGTAGTGAAGCATGGTTCTCATTCCATATCAGTAAATGTGTTTCTACACTTTTGTTTCTAATGCTAACATAATCCTCTAGGCCATTTAACCAGACCATGCCAGTATTGTGAACAATATTATGGTGAATATCTCTGTATTTAAGTCTTTGAATATATCCTAAGCCTGGCCTAGAAGTAAAATTGTTTAAAAAGGGCTTTATACTCTTAAGTTGTAAAATTTTTACCCTCACCACTAAAGAGGGAAGACTCAGAACTCAGAAAATCATGCAGTTTGGTTTTGATTTCATAAAACTAATAAGAAATGCTTCTGCTGTTGGAAAGTCTAACTGTATTATATGTGCCAGACCCCACATCTCAAAAAATTAAAATATGTTTTTAAGAAAGTCTATTTTGGCAACATGGGAATACATATAAGCACAAGCTGATATAGAGCTTGGAATCAGGCATAATGTTTGTCAACAAAATAACTGTTCATTGCCAGTTTCACTTGCATTTTATTTCCATTCTGGCTTTTTATGAAAATTGAGCTAAAAAAAAAAAAAACGTTTTATATAGCTAAGCAAAATGGGATTTTGGCTTTTCAGTATAAATCAGGTAGACAGCTTCTTCAGTTTTTTCCATAAATGTTGCTGTTATTTTCCATTTATCTTGTCCAAAAAAATGGTCAGGTGCCAGAAGTTTAAGAAAATTTTCTCAGGTTTACCTAAAAATCAGGGAAGTCAGATACAGTGGTTCACACCTGTAATCCTAGCACATTGGGAGGCTGAGTTGGGTGGATTGCTTGAGCTCAGGAGTTCAAGACCAACCTGAACAAGAGCAAGGCCCCGTCTCTACTAAAAATAAAAAAA